AGAGAGCACAAAGCAACATTAGATTTACATTTAAGGTGAAGAAAAGCAGGGGGAGTCAATAGGTGATTTCAGGCAGGTGCTGACGAAAGGGGGGTGAATTGCAACGCCAGAGAAGAGACAGCCTTTGTGACGTGCGACTTTCAAACAGTCAGGTCCCACCGAGATTTGAACTCGGATCGCTGGATTCAGAGTCCAGAGTGCTAACCATTACACCATGGAACCGCTGGAGCTATGCGGTAGTCTGCTGATCGGCTGTGTGGTCCAAGCAGATTTAATGCCTACGTTAAAGCACGTAACAAGTGAGGTTCACTCACATTTTTATTTGCACAGGGGACGGACAAAATTGGCATTTATGAAAGGCAATGGTTTCATGACTCTGGACAACAATTTTGGACTCACCTGTGCCTGTCTCTGCCTGGCTGATTTCTCCACCACGTCTCTGGCTTTGGTATCACTTCCATGTTTAAATGCCTAGGACGCGTACCTTGGAGCCCGAAAAACTTCACAGAAGAAAGAAAAGCAACATCCTTTCCAAGGTCAGAGCATTTTTTATTTATTTCTTTGTTATTATTTATTTATTTTCTTTTACCAGTTCATCCTGCTGTATGATAGCAAATTATATTACAGATGTTTGGACTGTTATGTGGCAATGACACAGTGATGATATACAAATGCCACAAAGAGCAGCACAATCACAATTACCATCTTTTTCCTTGTTCCTGTTTGCCTAAGATCTTAATATCTTGTACTGTCATTCCCACACATCAAGTCACGTGAAAAACAGCTCCCGTTGACCACATACAGTCCTTGCATTCCTCAAGTGGTATCTCCCTGGCAGTCACAATGTTCAGCAAAAGTGATGACTAAAAGTGTTCAATAATTGTGTGGAGTTGGAGAGAGAAGCTTAAACCCTGTCTCTCCTCTAGTTTCTGCTGCCATTCACACTGGCAAATAGATGTGAGTGTCTGCTCATAGAAACTCAGTGGGCAGAAAAATTCCCTCTCTCACTGACGTCAGAAAACTGTGTGCGGTGGCGGGGATGGACTTTTCAAAAGGTAGCTACCGTCACGCAGCCAAAGTAGAATGGCCTGTTCAGAGGACCCTTCTGGGATGCAGAAGAAAAGGGCCCAGGAAGGAAGCATTGGTTTTTCAGTGGTAGAGTTCTCGCCCACCACGCGGGAGGCCAGGGTTCGATTCCCGGCTGGTCCAAACCATGCTTCAGACCAGAAGAAGCCTCAGTCACGTCTCGGTACTTAGCAATTAGGTAGCTTTGGCTCTGGGCAAAACTCATTCTGTGGCAGCATTCACCTGTTGCTGTTGCGGAACACGTGCCGTGTTCCGCAACAGCCCTCCAGTGACTCACGCTAGCTGGGCTTATTTCCAGAGTTACGGCAGCCCCACTCTTGATTGAGTGGCAGCCTGTGTTTTGCACATGCGTTATGTCGAGAGTTCCTCTTAATTTTACTCATCTACTCGCTCTGTGATGCGGGCCTCGTTGGCGCAGTAGGCAGCGCGTCAGTCTCATAATCTGAAGGTCGTGAGTTCGAGCCTCACACGGGGCAGTGCTTTCTTGCATGTGCGTATCTTTTCTGTAGTGGTGTGCAGTCATATACACTCGCCCCTTTGCACTGTGTAGAAGGGCCAGTTTGAAGGAGTGTGATGGCAGTCCTTCCTGCAGTCTAACACTGCATGAACTTATTCTTGGATCTGCTGCCTTCCTGCTACGGTGAGCGTATTACGTCATTATGTCACTTCCTGTTGTGTGTGCCTGTTGAGTTAGACGCGCTCCCTCAATCCTCCGTCTAGCCTTCTGCTAACTTAATCACTTTAAGCACCACTGCACACTACGCTTAGTTCGTTACAGAAGTCTTTATAACTCAGGTCTATCACAGGACCCTACCTGTACTGCTGCACTCAACGTTCTAGAAACCCAAACTTACCTAGCATAGCTATGGCCTCTCTCTCTCCCTCTGCTTCTCCCTCCACTTCTCCTTCTCTCTCCTGCTCAGTGTGCCTGATGTTTAGTTATTCCTCTGCCTCCTTTAATGATAATGGTACATGTAACAAGTGTAGCCTGTTCGCAGTCCTGGAGGCGAGGCTTAGTGAGCTAGAGTCCCGGCTCCGCACCATGGAAGGTAGCCCTGTAGCTCAGGTAGCGTCTCAGGCCCCTTAGCCTGATTCCTTTTCCATGATTTCTGTATTTCATGTTGTAAATTGTTTCTTTGTCTGTATACAACATCTATTGCACGTCTGCCTGTCCTGGGTGAGGGATCCCTCCTCTGTTGCTCACCCTGAGGTTTCTCCATTTTCTTCCCTGTTAAAGGGTTTTCTTGGGAGTTTTTCCTCAGTCGATGTGAGGGTCTAAGGGCAGAGGATGTTGTCATAATGCTGTGTAAAGCCCTTTGAGACAAACTGTTTGTAAAAACGGGCTATACAAATAAAATTGCCTTGCCTTGCCTTGCCTTGCCTTGCCCCATCAGAGAACACCCTGGGCCCTTCTCACTGTGTAGAAGGAGCAGTGGTCTAAAGTGGTCTAAGAACTCAGAATCTCTCTAAACTGCCCTTAATGCCTCTGGCTCTTTGAGATTCTCAATCACTTTGTTCATGGTTATCCAAGTGTGGGGTGGTTACAAAGCCAGACAGAGGTTAAGAGTTGTTGGACTCAGCTGAGACCATGTGTAAACGCCAGTCGTCGGACACGCTTGATTTCCTGTTATTCCTCTGAGACGGTCCTGCTGTTCAAGCAGTTGTGGCCATATAATGTTAGGTGTTTGAAAGTGCATTGTTTTCTGAGGCAGAAGATTTGTTTTTGTCACTGATTTCTCTGCCCATCTCCTGGTTTGGGATGACACCCATGATTAAGATGGCTCGCTTGGACTCGTAGCCTGCAAGACATCCCGGATGAAACAAAAGCAACATCCTTTCCCAGCTTAGTGATACCTGTTTGAAAGAAACAGACATGAGCCTGTAAAAGCCAGTTCATGAGTTGTCTGTGACCCGTGGCGGCAAAATGCTAGGGTCCAGGGCCATGTAAGCATTGGTGGTTCAGTGGTAGAATTCTCGCCTGCCACGCGGGAGGCCCGGGTTCGATTCCCGGCCAATGCAAGGAGCCTTTTCCTTTGCCTGGGTTTGATTCCCCAACACACTCCATTTTACCGGATCACCCTCCTGGTTGATAGCACAATATCTTTTTCCGGATGTTTGGCTTGTTATATGACAAGGACACGGTGGTAATGTATCGATGCAAGAAAGAGCAGCAAAAAGGTAGTCATTTTCCTTGCTCCTGCTTGCCTAAATACTCCATAATGCGTACTGTCATTCACCCACATGAAGAGCATACCACCTCACAGGGGTCAGCATGTGGGAAAAGCATGGGCTGTCAGAAGTGGGATTCGAACCCACGCCTCCAGGGGAGACTGCGACCTGAACAGCTGCTGATGGATCGTCTGGGGAAATGTTGGAAATGTTGGAGCAATGTTGGACGGGGCAGTCAATCACCTTTGCGGCTCCAACATTCAGCAGCCAATCGCCGTCACGGATTCTTCCCCCCAGCGCCAACATTTCCAACATTTGACCAATTGCAGCGCAGAAATGTTGGACCGAGGGAGCTCATTTTTTTCTCTGGTGGGCAGTAACTTTGCGCGTTCACCGGTGTATGTTAGAGAGATGGAGAATTTGTCATATCAACATGGTGAGTATTTTTTGAATATTTTATTACAGTGGCAAATTATAAATCATTAAGAGAAGAAGCTCTGTTACTGGTTGTGTCATGTTGTCATGTTTGTTCATCCGCTTAATGTTTACATTACTTTTACGCCATCCCTTATGTGTTTGAATTTCATGCGTCGCCATTAGCTGGCATTTGCAAATATTATATTGTCACGTCAAATTTAGTGTTAAATCATGACAGACCTTAGCTAAATTGTGTGGTTCAGACGGGTTGCCGCGGTGCATACGGTGAATATTTACACATTTACTACGGTCGTTAGCCGGCATTTGCTAATATTATCTGGTCATGTCAAGTTTTGTGCTCAATCACAAAAGAGACCTAAGCTAAATTTTGTGTTTTTGACGGGTTACCGGTGTGGGGTATACAGCAAGCATTTACACATTTATTACAGTGTTGTGACCTGTCAAGCAACTGAGGCCAGTGGCGTTGTCAGTGCACTCTACCACCACCAGTACTACTACTACTACTACTACTACAGTATGGCGTCATTTTGAGGGGAATGGGCGAAAGTTTACACTTACATGTACAGATAAAGCTGTAGTCTCTTTATTTTCAGGAACCATAAATGGATTTTAAAGCTGCTGTTCAAGACTGGTCCAAAGGGGAAGCTGGAGCTTCAAGACACTTGAAGCTCTGGTAATTCCCACCTCAGCCCAGCGGTATCTACAATCAGGCTCCTTCTCCAGACTGCTTTTTTGCCCACCCACTTCTTGTGTGGATGCCATACAAGTTGTGGAAGGTGAAGGTGGTCTGTCCCAACCCGGGCTGTGGGCAGCACCAGCTAACTGGAGCAGGGCTTCACAAGAGGGCACGGCAGGTCCTGGATGTAGATCGGATCTACAACGTGGTGACATGGGCTTAAGGTCTCAATATCTTGTACTGTCATTCCCACACATCAAGTCATGTGAAAAACAGCTCCCGTTGACCACATACAGTCCTTGCATTCCTCAAGTGGTATCTCCCTGGCAGTCACAATGTTCAGCAAGAGTGATGACTAAAAGTGTTCAATGATTGTGTGGAGTTGGAGAGAGAAGCTTGAACCCTGTCTCTCCTCTAGGTTCTGCTGCCATTCACACTGGCAAATAGGTGTGAGTGTCTGCTCATAGAAACTCAGTGGGCACAAAACCTCCCTTCTCTCACTGACGTCAGAAAACTGTGTGTGGTGGTGGGGATGGACTTTTCAAAAGGTAGCTACCATCACACAGCCAAAGTAGAATGGCCTGTTCAGAGGACCCTTCTGGGATGCAGAAGAAAAGGGCACAGCAAGGAAGCATTGGTGTTTCAGTGGTAGAGTTCTCGCCCGCCATGCGGGAGGCCAGGGTTCGATTCCCGGCTGGTCCAAACCATGCTTCAGACCAGAAGAAGCCTTAGTCACATCTCAGTACTTAGCAGTTAGGTAGCTTTGGCTCTGGACGAAACCCTTGTTCTGTGGCAGCATTCACCTCAGTGCCGTGTTCCGCAACAGCCCTCCAGTGACTCACGCTAGCTGGGCTTATTTCCAGAGTTACAGCAGCCCCAGTCTTGACTTAGTAGCAGCCTGTGTTTTGCACACGCGTTATGTCGAGAGTTCCTCTTAATTTTACTCATCTACTGCTCTGTGAGGCGGGCCTCGTTGGCGCAGTAGGCAGCGCGTCAGTCTCATAATCTGAAGGTCGTGAGTTCGAGCCTCACACGGGGCAGTGCTTTGTTGCACGTGCGTATCTTTTCTGTAGTGGTGTGCAGTCATATACACTCGCCCCTTTGCACTGTGTAGAAGGGCCAGTTTGAAGGAGTGTGATGGCCCCATCAGAGAACACCCTGGGCCCTTCTCACTGTGTAGAAGGAGCAGTGGTCTAAAGTGGTCTAAGAACTCAAAATCTCTCTAAACCGCCCTTAATGCCTCTGGCTCTTTGAGATTCTCAATCACTTTGGTCATGGTTATCCAAGTGTGGGGTGGTTACAAAGCCAGACAGAGGTTAAGAGTTGTTGGACTCAGCTGAGACCATGTGTAAACGCCAGTCGTCAGACACGCTTGATTTCCTGTTATTCCTCTGAGACGGTCCTGCTGTTCAAGCAGTTGTGGCCATATAATGTTAGGTGTTTGAAAGTGCGTTGTTTTGGGAGGCAGAAGATTTGTTTTTGTCACTGATTTCTCTGCCCATCTCCTGGTTTGGGATGACACCCATGATTAAGATGGCTCGCTTGGACTCGTAGCCTGCAAGACATCCCGGATGAAACAAAAGCAACATCCTTTCCCAGCTTAGTGATACCTGTTTGAAAGAAACAGACATGAGCCCGTAAAAGCCAGTTCATGAGTTGTCTGTGACCCGTGGCGGCAAAATGCTAGCGTCCAGGGCCATGTAAGCATTGGTGGTTCAGTGGTAGAATTCTCGCCTGCCACGCGGGAGGCCCGGGTTCGATTCCCGGCCAATGCAAGGAGCCTTTTCCTTTGCCTGGGTTTGATTCCCCAACAGCACGGCACACTCCATTTTACCGGATCACCCTCCTGGTTGATAGCACAATATCTTTTTCTGGATGTTTGGCTTGTTATATGACAAGGACACGGTGGTAATGTATCGATGCAAGAAAGAGCAGCAAAAAGGTAGTCATTTTCCATGCTCCTGCTTGCCTAAATACTCCATAATGCGTACTGTCATTCACCCACATGAAGAGCATACCACCTCACAGGGATCAGCATGTGGGAAAAGCACGGGCTGTCAGAAGTGGGATTCAAACCCACGCCTCCAGGGGAGACTGCGACCTGAACGCCAGCTGCCGAAGGATCGTCTGGGGAAATGTTGGAAATGTTGGAGCAATGTTGGACGGGGCAGTCAATCACCTTCGCGGCTCCAACATTCAGCAGCCAATCGCCGTCACGGATTCTTCCCCCAGCTCCAACATTTCCAACATTTGACCAATCGCAGCACAGAAATGTTGGACCGAGGGAGCTCATTTTTTTCTCTGGTGGGCAGTAACTTTGCGCGTTCACCGGTGTATGTTAGAGACGGAGAATTTGTCATATCAACATGGTGAGTATTTTTTGAATATTTTATTACAGTGGCAAATTATAAATCATTAAGAGAAGAAGCTCTGTTACTGGTTGTGTCATGTTGTCATGTTTGTTCATCCGCTTAATGTTTACATTACTTTTACGCCATCCCTTATGTGTTTGAATTTCATGCGTCGCCGTTAGCTGGCATTTGCAAATATTATATTGTCACGTCAAATTTAGTGTTAAATCATGACAGACCTTAGCTAAATTGTGTGGTTCAGACGGGTTGCCGCAGTGCATATGGTGAATATTTACACATTTACTACGGTCGTTAGCCAGCATTTGCTAATATTATCTGGTCATGTCAAGTTTTGTGCTCAATCACAAAAGAGACCTAAGCTAAATTTTGTGTTTTTGACGGGTTACCGGTGTGGGGTATACAGCAAGCATTTACACATTTATTACAGTGTTGTGACCTATCAAGTAACTGAGGCCAATGGCGTTGTCAGTGCACTCTACCACCACCAGTACTACTACTACTACTAGTACTACAGTATGGCGTCATTTTGAGGGGAATGGGCGAACCGTAGTTTACACTTACACGTACAGATAAAGCAGTAGTCTCTTTATCTTCAGAAACCATAAATGGATTTTAAAGCTGCTGTTCAAGACTGGTCCAAAGGGGAAGCTGGAGCTTCAAGACCACCTGAAGCTCTGGTAATTCCACCTCAGCCCAGCGGTATGTACAATCAGGCTCCTTCTCCAGACTGCTTTTTTGCCCACCAACTTCTTGTGTGGATGCCATACAAGTCGTGGAAGGTGAAGGTGGTCTGTCCCAACCCGGGCTGTGGGCAGCACCAGCTAACTGGAGCAGGGCTTCACAAGAGGGCACGGCAGGTCCTGGATGTAGATCGGATCTACAACATGGTGACAGAGACACTAACTTGCACCAAATGTAGATTCTCACATGTGTCCTGGAGTCACACTGAGTCACAGCTGGACTTGGCACACAGGTCAGAGTTCCGGGTCATCCTCACACAAAAGTGAATAATGTCTTTTTCTCTCTTCCTCTGTCTTACAGATAAGTTTGTAAAATATTCTAACTGATACTTGTTTTCTATCTATATCCAAGGTTTGCTTGTGACATCAGGGTGATTCGGCTTTTGCGGGAGAGAGGGCTGGGCAACAGCCTAACATGGGTTCTCAAGCAGCTGAGGGAAAACCACACAGAGGAGTGGTTGAATTGTGTGGCACGGTACACTACGGTACACTATGGACCAGGACTGTTGGCCATAATCTTCCCTGAGCCTCCAGAGCCTGCTGTGGTGCCCAGCTTTAAATGGCTCCTCTCAGTTTACAGCCAGGACATCCTGACAAGGATGGAGGACATCAAGGCCCGCATCATCTCCGTTTATGGAACCATTTTGAAAATGGTCCGCCAAAAAGGTTAAAGAAACTCTTTTCTCTGAAAGTGTCTGCTGATATATTATATAATTATAATTTGTACAATGTAGTATTTCTGAATCATCATCACGGAGTTCCTATACATTTTGTGTGTCTTAGATCACCACAAAGCTTGCTGTGACAGTCAAGGGGACAGCACTCTGGCTCACTTCTGTGGGCAATGAGTATGGCCAGATAGTCATGAGTGTGCTGACCACGCAGGAGGGAGCTGGGACTGGACCTGATGGCTGCAGATCTGGTTAAAAGATACCAGCAGGCTGGTGTGGATCGCCCTGTTGCCCTCTATGTTGACTGTGGCTGCTGTGCTGAGGGGGGAGAGACAAAGCTGAGTGCCAGATTCAGTGGATGGCCAGACCTTACCATAAGGCTGGATATCTGGCACTTCATGTGGCGACTCGCTGTGGGCTGCACGACTGGTGCTCATCAGTTGTATCCACTCTTTATGTCATGTATATCGGTGTGCATATTTGAGTGGGATGCTGCTGATTAAGCTCGGTTGTGTGAAGCCAAAAAACAGCAGCTTCAGGCGCAGGGCTTGTCTCTTCTGACTGGTGACATCCAAAGCATCTGTCGCGGGAGGAGCTGGCTCTGCATTGTTGGAGGAGGACCCGTGGGGAGGAGACCACCATTCAGCTGCTGGAGGAGCTGCTGCAGCTGTTGATGGGAAGCAGGGGCAATGACTCACTGGGAGTTCCCCTGCTGGACAGCGAGAGGATGGAGCACATCTGGAGGGTCCAGAAAAAGCATGTCCAGTGCATTCAGGACCCACCAGGTGTTGCACTTTACATCAAGACTGGGGAGCTCTCAAAGGGAGGAGTGACTCCCCATCTACAGATGTGCCAGAGGCTCTACATCGCATACCCACAGCCAACAGGCTTTTTAATTCTTCTGCAAATGGTAGATGAGCTGACAGACTAATGAATTTCCGTTTTGGGATTTAATAAAGTGATTTGTATTCATATTCGTAAGTGGTTTATGCAGCACGACACCAGACCAGACTGTTGAGTGGCTGATTTAGGACACCTAAGAAGCCCTCAACAACCCCTGATGTGGAGAGCACCACCTGCGCTACAATAGGAGCAAGTAGCATACCTGCACAGTGGCCTGACTGCTGCCGGCTGGTTGAGAACATTTTTATAAGGCTGTGCAACCTGCATCCAAGTCCACTGAGATGTGGCAAGACAACTGACTCAAGGTGGCCCTTCATTCTTAGGGACTACCATCGAATCAGGCAGATTGTCACTGGCAATGTGCTTGTGATGCAGGGCACAGACATTCAACTGGTTGAGGTGAACCAAAACACCCTCATCCAGTGGCACAACCACAGGCAAAAGAGACTGGAGCTGTCTGTAAAACTTCAGGTACTGCCTCCAGCCCTCCCTGTGTCTGCACAGCCTCTTCAGGAGGCAAGAGTGCTTCCTGATGAGCCCATAGAGGCACAGGAGGAACACCAGTACCAGCTGCCCGAGAGTACTGCAGGCCAGGCACAGCAGAGGCAGAGAGCATCATCCCCTCGTCCAATCATGCCAAGGAAGAAGCTCTTCACTACCTCCCCAGCTCAAGGACCTTTTCTGGCACCTCAACTTATGCCACCAGCTGGTGTGTTTCAGTGGGTACTTCCGGTGGCAGCTGCTCAGGGTACCAACATCAACACCACCCCACAAACCATGGCACCATCCACAGAGGAAACTGAGGCCACCATAAAGAGGCCATATAAATGTACAGTGGTAGCCAATACGTGCAAAAAGTGTGGGCAGTTCCGCACAGCTGAAACTGGCCACAGCCAAGTAACACCAACAAAAGTAATGTAAAAATAGTGTAAATAGTTAATAATTGTAAGTAGTTGGATATTTTTATACAAGGATTGCTTTTCTACACTGTGAATAAATATTTGTACATTTGTGTTTGTTCTTTCAGTGTTGGTTTGGACTATTCCCTAAATAAAATTCATGAGCAGCAATTGTCATTAAGTGTTTTTAATGACAGTATGTTGAAAACAGCACCACAGCAATAATAATGATAATGAATATAACAATGGCTATGACAACACTCAATTAAAATATGACATGGTACAAAAATACATACATTACCCAAAAAGAAATTGTAGTCAAGTGTTAAGTATACACTTCAAAGAAACTTGTAGCCAATATGACAAATGTATTAACATGAAAATCGTTACATTTCTGCCAAATGATTCAGAGGTCAAGTAAAGAAATCCCAAAGTCACCGGTTTGAATCCCGTCCATGGGTAGTGCAAAACACTGCAAAATATTAAAAGTTTCATATTTGTCATGAGACAGCTAGAAATACATTAATAGGAACAAAAAAAGTTCACTTTTCTCCCCTTTCTCTTCCCTTTTCTCTCTTTTTCCTTCTTCCCCCTCCTTGATGGACGAGTGTTCCTCAGCTTGAATGCAGCGCCTTAGACCGCTTGGCCATCCTGACTGCGCAAGCTACGTTGAACCCATCACATGTGAGCCAAAGCGGGAATGACATCACCTGCAAATGAGTCAGAGAGCACAAAGCAACATGAGATTTACATTTAAGGTGAGGAAAAGCAGGGGGAGTCAATAGGTGATTTCAGGCAGGTGCTGACGAAAGGGGGGTGAATTGCAGTGCCAGAGAAAAGGCAGCCTTTGTGACGTGCGACTTTCAAACAGTCAGGTCCCACTGAGATTTGAACTCGGATCGCTGGATTCAGAGTCCAGAGTGCTAACCATTACACCATGTAACCGCTGGAGCGATGCAGCTGTCTGCTGATCGACTGCATGGTCCAACCGGATTTAATGCCTACGTTAAAGCACTTAAGTGAGGTTCACTCACATTGTTATTTGCACAGGGGACGGACAAAATTGGCATTCATTAAAGGCAATGGCTTCATGACTCTGGACAACAATTTTGGACTCACCTGTGCCTGTCTCTGCCTGACTGATTTCTCCTCCATGTCTCTGGCTTTGGTATCACTTCCATGTTTAAATGCCTAGGACGCGTACCTTGGAGCCTGAAAGACTTCCCAGAAGAAAGAAAAGCAACATCCTTTCCAAGGTCAGAGCATTTTTTATTTATTTCTTTGTTATTATTTATTTATTTTCTTTTACCAGTTCATCCTGCTGTATGATAGCAAATTATATTACAGATGTTTGGACTGTTATGTGGCAATGACACAGTGATAATATACAAATGCCACAAAGAGCAGCACAATCACAATTAAAGTCTTTTTCCTTGTTCCTGTTTGCCTAAGATCTCAATATCTTGTACTGTCATTCCCACACATCAAGTCACGTGAAAAACAGCTCCCGTTGACCACATACAGTTCTTGCATTCCTCAAGTGGTATCTCCCTGGCAGTCACAATGTTCAGCAAAAGTGATGACTAAAAGTGTTCAGTAATTGGAGTTGGAGAGAGAAGCTTGAGCCCTGAAAAATAGGTGTGAGTGTCTGCTCATAGAAACTCAGTGGGCAGAAAACCTCCCTCTCTCACTGACATCAGAAAACTATGTGTGGTGGTGGGGATGGACTTTTCAAAAGGTAGCTACCATCACCCAGCCAAAGTAGAATGGCCTGTTCAGAAGACCCTTCTGGGATGCAGAAGAAAAGGGCACAGGAAGGAAGCATTGGTTTTTCAGTGGTAGAGTTCTCGCCCACTACGCGGGACGCCAGGGTTCGATTCCTGGTCGGTCCAAACCATGCTTCAGACCAGAAGAAGCCTTACTCACTGCTTGGTATTTAGCGACTAGGTAGCCTTGGCTTGGGGCTTGAGGTGCTGCTGTGGTCTGCTGATTGACCTATGATCCAATCAGATAAAGTAGTTAAAGTACTTCACATGCGAGGTTCAGTCACACTTGTAAAGGCCAGTTCGAAGGTTTGTGATGGCCACCTCAGAGGCCTTTTCACTTTGCATAAGAAGCAGTGGTATAAAGTGGTGTAAGAACTCAGAATCTCTCCAAACCTCCCTTAATGGCTCTGGCTTTGAGAGATTTTCAGTCATTCTGTTTATGGTTATCCAAGTGTGGGCTCGTTAAAAAACCCACCCTTTTCTCCAGGTTTTTTTCTACTCCTAACTATTAATTGGACAGATGTTGAGAGTTGTTAGGCTCACCTGAGACCATATGTAAACGACATAGGACACGCTTGACTTCCTATTATTCCTCTGAGACTGTCCTGATATTCAAGCAGTTTCTGTTCTTCCAAAGTGAGAAATCTCCATGAAGGGACAGTAGATGTTCTTTCCTGCCACAACAGAAGAGAACAAAATTTTAATACTATGTACAAAATTTGAATAAAATCAGTTACCTGTGGGATTAGTTTGGGAACATGACACACCTGTGGAAACAGCTGAAGACTGCTGCCTCTTTCTCAGGTACTGCTGCAGCTTAGCTCTGCGTGCCCAAGGGGCGCAGCTCTTCCCCAGGATAAAGTATGCATAGTCATCATCTCTGCTGTCTGACATCTCATTTCAGGTGCTCTTTGCCCAGGTGCCAAAGCCGACAAGCTGGTCACCCTCTGAGCCTGCTGCAACACTCTCATAAGGGACTGAATCTCTGTAAAACTGAGAGCATAGTGGACGAATGATATCAGGCTGTGCTTGTCATGCCTCTCAGACGAAGACATATCCATGGCCTCCTCCTTCTGAACACTATGGATGAGTTACACTATGTACCCAATGTTGTTCATCAGAAGCCACATGAAAGACTTCTGCTTGTACTTCCCAAACTGCAGGATGTAGTCTCCCACCACCTCTGTCATTTTTGAAGCATCTCCTCCTCTCTGACAGACAAGTATAAGAGTATCTGCCGTACCATGTCCTTCCTAATGGGTGCAGACCTGTCCTGCAGAGTGGGGTCATTCTTAATCCACCTGGCTTTTGCAGAGGGATCCTGAAGGAGAAATCCAAGTTGTCCCTTGTGGTACACAAAAGCAATTTTTCCAGGAAAAAAACACACTTTCTTGTGCATCTTGACCTGCTGTGATGGCCACTCACATTGTTTCTGTTGTCTTAGTTATGTTTACTCCGGCACATTAATTTGTTATTATTATTATTTTTAATTATCAGGATAACTTTTGTTGTACTGACATCACACCAGTAAACACGTAAACACAGGACACATAGTCTTTTGATTCCATACGTCCGACTGACTCTATTAGAATTAGTTTAAGCACAACATAGTCACACAGATGATGTGCACACATTTGCATTGACTATGGTTTTGCTAATTATTAGTCTCATTTCTTATTTTAGATTTAAACATTTCTGTTCTACCATGCATGTTGCTACGTGGTCCAAGTCTGGCCAACTCCAGCATTGTGGTGAGACATGCCTCTGCGATTGGGGTCTGGGGGAAACAGCAACTGGCCAAAAGATGGTTGGAAGAGTTCCGCCAACGTGAAACATCCCCAGCATGTTCCATCTGCTGTCCAGTCATTAGGGGATTTGAGATTTAGTTGGGATTTTGTTATGTTTAATTTGTGTTAGGTAAATTTGTGTATATATGTAAATATTATTCTAAAGAGTTTATTTCTGCAGAAATCTTTTGTTCTTCTTTTCCACTATTTTGATTACTTTTGTCCACTTAATTGATCTAGTTAATTGCCCTGTGATTTATTTTGGTTTGATCGAACAGTATTTAAGTTGTCCTTTTGTTTCACTTTGGTAGATGGTGGTGGAGGTAGCGTTTGGTTTGCATTCCCTTAGTTTTGTTAATTTAACCTTTAAGGGCCTGGAACCTTTTGTTAATTATTTTGAGTTATTTATGTTTAATGAGGACATAAACTCAATCCTTTTTTGATATTTTTGAGTCTGCATGCCTGTGTGGACTGCTGGTCCCTGACATATGGTGGCAGGGGTGGGATGTAGCCAGTAGGGGGCACAGATTTGCAATTTTTTCCCTCCTCCTCCATTCTCACCATATTTTTTTTTTTTGTGAGTGCAAGAGACCTTCTACAAAAATGCACAGAACTGCCGGGGGCATGGCATCCCGCAAGGAGTATCACGCCGGGATTCCACTAGATGCAGAACGGCTGCGGAATGGCTGCACTGCGTGTCAGCTCCATGCTCCACCGTCCGTCAATAGGCTACCCATGGAATGCATCTGTGATGCGCACTGTTGTGGCGCCACCGGACAGTGGGAATCATGGGGACCCACAAAATCTTGCATATTCACGTATAATCGCTGAATATAGCAAGATGTAGAACCACAAAACCAAAAACAGTGTATTTAATCCAGAGGAGTAGTAGGAAAACAACTCCGTGCTGACCTGCTGATCTGCCTGTTTTGTGATTTACAATCAGCCTTTCCTCGTCCAACAGGGTGAAATGGTGTCTGAAAACATCTGACCTGTTGATTTCAGGCCTGTCTCTGCCCATTACAACGTTTTAAGACGTATAGTGCAGGGAAATATGATCTGCTATAAACACGGTGTATTTTATTTTGAAAATTAACCGGGTGTTTTGTTTTGTGTTTTCCTGTCCCGCACGATCTGCTCTGTGCTGAGTTCATGCGCCGTGCTCCGACGTCTAGCAAAAATAGAATCTCTGTGTATGTGTTGTGGAGGGCTCAGGAAGGCCGGAGCTGAGCCAGAGCCATGATGCACCGCATCCGCAGCTGGTGGAAGCACACACACTGACTAGAATTGAAACATATTGGGTTCGCTGCCGTGCCGGAGCGGAGATGCACACACATCCAGTGGAATCCTGGGTTCAGTAGCAGCAATCTCTGGTGCGGCAGTAGGGACAGGCTTTGATGATGGTAGTGGTGAAGAAGACCAACACCAGCAATGCGGAAGAGCCAACTCTCAAGGATCTGGCTGACATGCTGCGTACGTGCATTGTGGCACAGGATGCACGGGAAGCCCAACGCACCTAAGAGCTGCCGGAGCAAGACCTTTATCAATATGATCATCCTATATCAATATTGCCTTGTTTTTCTAAAATTCGTATTCGTATATAGTAGAATTATGAAACCCCTAGATACTAATAATATTTTGTTCTTCGAACATCAGTATGGGCTTAGAAAAAAATATTCTACATATATGGCTCTATTATACCATCCATCCATCCATCCATCTTCCTCCGCTTATCCGGGGCCGGGTCGCGGGGGCAGCAGCCTGAGCAGGGACCCCCAGACTTCCCTCTCCCCAGACACTTCCTCCAGCTCTTCCGGAGGGACCCCAAGGCGTTCCCAGGCCAGCCGGGTGACATAGTCACTCCAGCGTGTCCTGGGTCTTCCCGGGGCCTCCTTCCGGTGGGACATGCCCGGAACACCTCCCGAGGGAGGCGCCCAGGGGGCATCCGGTACAGATGCCCGAGCCACCTCAACTGGCTCCTCTCGATGTGGAGGAGCAGCGGCTCTACTCCGAGCTCCTCCCGGGTGACAGAGCTTCTCACCCTATCTCTAAGGGAGCGCCCCGCCACCCTGCGGAGGAAACTCATTTCGGCCGCTTGTATCCGGGATCTCGTTCTTTCGGTCATGATCCAGAGTTCATGACCATAGGTGAGGGTAGGAACGTAGATCGACCGGTAAATCGAGAGCTTTGCCTTTCGGCTCAGCTCTCTCTTCACCACGACGGACCGATACAACGACCGCATTACTGCAGCCGCTGCACCGATCCGCCTGTCGATCTCACGCTCCATCCTTCCCCCACTCGTGAACCGGACCCCGAGATACTTAAACTCCTCCACTTGAGGCAGGAACTCTCCCCCGACCTGGAGAGGGCAAACCACCTTTTTCCGGTCGAGAACCATGGCCTCAGACTTGGAGGTGCTGATTCTCATCCCAGCTGCTTCACACTCAGCTGCGAACCGCCCCAGCGCATGCTGAAGGTCCTGGCTCGAGGGAGCCAACAAGACAACATCATCTGCAAAAAGCAGAGATGAAATCCGGTGACTCCCGAACCGGACCCCCTCCGGACCCTGGCTGCGCCTAGAAATTCTGTCCATAAAAATAATGAACAGAACCGGTGACAAAGGGCAGCCCTGTCGGAGGCCAACATGCACTGGGAACAAGTCCGACTTACTGCCGGCAATGCGAACCAAGCTCCTGCTCCGGTCGTACAGAGACCTTACAGCCCTCAGCAGAGGGCCTCCGACCCGTATTCTCGGAGCACCTCCCACAGAATGCCACGGGGGACACGGTCGAATGCCTTCTCCAAGTCCACAAAGCACATGTGGACTGGTTGGGCAAACTCCCATGAACCCTCGAGCACCCTGTGGAGGGTATAGAGCTGGTCCAGTGTTCCACGACCAGGACGAAAACCGCATTGTTCCTCCTGAATCCGAGGTTCGACTATCGGTCGAATTCTCCTCTCCAGCACCCTGGAATAGACTTTCCCCGGGAGGCTGAGGAGTGTGATCCCCCGGTAGTTGGAACACATCCTCCGGTCCCCCTTTTTAAAAAGAGGGACCACCACCCCGGTCTGCCAGTCCAGAGGCACTGTCCCCGACTGCCACGCGATGTTGCAGAGGCGTGTCAGCCAAGACAGCCCCACAACATCCAGACACTTGAGGTACTCAGGGCGGATCTCATCCACCCCCGCTGCCTTGCCACCGGGGAGCTTCCGAACTACCTCGGTGACTTCAGCTTGGGTGATGAATGAATCAACCTCTGAGTCCTCTGTCTCTGCTTCCTCCATGGAAGACATGGCAGCGGGATTGAGGAGATCCTCGAAGTATTCCTTCCACCGCCC